CTTTATTTCAGTTTACTAGATAAAATGAAAAAACCCTTTGATATTATTTCTTTGGTTCATTATGAAATTTGCCTTTGGCACCCCTTTTTCATTTTAAAATTAAACCCTTTTTTTACAACTGACCTAGCAATTTGACGAAGTGTTTCAAAACTTTTTGTTTTTTGATGACAGGCTATTAAATTTGGACATATATGCACAGTTTAAAAATGAAAAATTTGAATTTTGATATAGTTTGGATCGGATTTGAGGGAATTGACGTACTTTCTTGTACTTTGATTTACACCCTAAAAATTGAAATTGGGCGATTTGCACAGTTCCAGATGTGAAATTGACCCATTGAGCTTTTGGGGATTCTTTATTTGGGATAAAAAACAGATGTGACTAACCTACCAAATGAAGTTTAAAAAATTAACGGGGGCCCTCTCTAATCATATGTAGGGCGGTCAATAACCTTTTTAAGCAAAATTTAAATTTTTTTTTTGCCCTGTGATATCGTTAACCCATGAAGGGCCACCCGGTGCAGTGCATCAAAATATTTTTTTAAAAGGGTTAATTTTAGTTAAAGTTTAAGTCTTCAAAACAGCGAATAAATAAAGCACCATCGGTATTTTCTTGTCATGAATTTTTTTCCCCAAGTCATGTAGCAGCGGGTAACCCCCACCGGGATGAGATTGTCGCGAGGCCCAAAATAAAAAAATAAATCTAAAGAAGTAAAATTTACTTATATCATAGACCCTTTACTTTTTTTCTCTATTTTATTTTAAATTGTTAAAAAACATAGGCCCGGCCCCGCTTGGTTTTTAAAATTTAAATACGGTAAAATGGGGAAAGCGAATTTTTAAGGGACTGTAAAATAAACCCCCGGGGTGCCCTTTCAGGGATTTTTTTTTCTTCTTTTTTTTGGGTTTTTTTATTGGGCCCAAAGGGGTTTAAAAACCCCTGAAGATATTATTTTTACCCTTTTTTAATTTTGGCCGGCAATCATTAAAAATTTAGTGTTTATTTATACCCCAAGCCTCAATGCCAACTGAAAAGAAAGCCAATAAAGTTTGACAATATTAACGTTTTTTCCCTCTGGTAAGGAAAACCCGCATGTCTTCTTTTCCTTGCACAAAAAATGAAATTAAAAAATAGATAGTGGGTTTTTTTCTGTATAAACATTTGTTTTTCATTTGGGACTCCCAAACCCCGGGCCCGCCCCTTTTTAAAAAAACTAAAATAAATCAACAAAAACCCATTAAGATAGTGAAAGGGGATTTTCTATCCGCAACAAATCGTTTTAAAAATATTTCGGGTTTAAAAACGGGTTAAAAAGATGTTTATTGCCCATTTTAAAATTTTATTGAAAAAAAAATGTTTTTAAATCAAATTGAGGGTATTTTTCTGTATATTATTTTTTAAATTACTGCGGGTGGAAAACAAAATTATGTCCATTCGACCATTCAACCAATTGGGGCCAGTAGGGTTTCCAAGAACGGGTTTTCCCCTTAAAGTTTGTTCTTTTTTCTTTGACAAAAGTCGGGGTATTTTTTCCAGAAAATGATAAATTTTTTTTTGCAGAAGGGTTATGTCCTTTTGAAGATATTTAGTGCAAAAAGGGGAAAAACCAAAAAAAATTTATATTTTAAATTAAGGGAAAAAATATTATATCGCTATTTTAATCAAGTTATTTGAAATCCCCTGCATAAAAACACCCACTCATTACTGCCTCAAAAAAAAAAAATTGACTTCATTTACTTTAAACCTTAAACGTCCCCTACATATATAAAATTTAGTTTGTAAAAAACCCATTAAACCATATTTGCTTCACTCATAAATATTAATTTACCTTCAAATTTTTTACCAAAAGCTAACAGATCATTGTAGTAACATTTTCTCATTGAATTTCTTTTTACATTTTTTTATTACGTTTTTCCTTTTTAAAGAACCCAAAGGGACAAATTCTTTTCCCCAGTCTGAAAAATAGTTTTTTCCCTTAAAACATTTTTTTCCAAATGCCCTAAAACAAAGCACAAAGAATTTAGAAAAATAATTTATAATATTTCAGTTAAGGGTTTTTGTAACCCCTCCCCTTTCATTTCATAAAGGGTCCTTTAGTAAAACTATCGCATTTTTTTTAAAATTTAATTTTTTACATAAAAAGTTCCTTTGGGAATTTTAAAAACCCCTTTTTTGGAAAAAAAACTTTGGGCTTGAGGGGGAAATTAAAAAGGAAAATCTTGATTTTTGGGAAAATTACAAAAAAGTTTTTTTAAAATTTAAGGGTCAAAAAATTAAAAGTTAGTAATACATTCTTTATTTAGCAACGTTTTCCCCAATTTGGAAAAAAAATGGTTTTTAATTTATAAGTTATGAAAAAGGGCAGTTAACAAATTAAAAACAAAATGTGATTCTTGTTTAAATGTATATAATGATATTTGTTTAATTAACCTTTTAAAGCAAAGTAGTTTTCCTTTTGAATAGTTTTTATTTTAATCTTTACAAAAATGAAACCATTATCATAATCCAAAAACCAAACCCTTAGTTGTTAGGGCAAAATTTTTATACCCATGCAGATAATGCAGCCTATAAAGGAAAATTTTTATCTGAATTTAAACAAAAAGGAAAAAAAAAAGGACTTTTTAAATTTAAAAAATATGTTGTTTTTAAACAAAAAGTTTGGAAATTTTGTTTGGGCCGTTTCCCATAAATTTAAACAATTTTTTGGAAATTCAACTGTCTTCCATTTCGTGGGACCCTCTGTTAAATATTTATGGCATGAATGGTTAACTTTTCATATGGGGCAACCATGGAAAAAAATTATCACGAACCATTTACCCAATTTTTATGTTTTTAAATTTTGACCCTGCTTATAAAATAATATCATTTTTTAAAAAATTGGGGAAAACAAAAATGAATACATTTAACTTCCCCAAAAAGTCCCTTTTCCGATTACAGGAAAACATTTCTAAAAATAAATTTAAGCCCCCACTTGTTTTATGATGCCTACAACCCATAAACAAAATAAAACATAGAAAATTTAAATTTTAAATTTTCTCTAGTTTCAGAAATATTAACACTAAGATTTTTAGTTAAAATTTTTTGCTGTAAAACTCCAGGGAAAATTTACTTAAATTATCTCTAAAAATACAAGACAGGCCTTTCCATATAAACAAAAACAAGTATACATGTTATTTTTAAAAAAATTTTCACAGTTAATTTTTAAAAATGAGTTTGTTAACCCAAAGTAAAAAAAGTAACACACAAAATTCCAGCAGGATGAGTCATTTTTCGTTTGTAGTTTAAAAAAAAATGCATTATGCTGCTGTTTCAGATCATGAAAAAAGAATTATACAAAATTAAACCCAAAAAATAAAACAAAAAATAAATTAAGAATGCTGATTTTCAATTTTTAAAATTTGTTCAATAAAAGGGTTTAAAAATTATTGTATTGTATACAATATTATCTAGTTTTTTTGATAAACCAAGAAAACTGCTAAACAAAACAAACAATGTGTATATTAAGCTCAGACAAAGCTTTAAAATCCTATGATGTATGTACTGTACATTTTTAAAAAAAAACCCAAAATTTCAAAAGTTTGTACAAAATCTTTTCGGCTATAAAAAAAGACAAATACAAAAGAGTAGGAAATCATTATTTACAAGAAAACATAAAAAGAGCTGTCAACAAACTTGGGCCCCTTTTATGTTCTTTAAACAATCGATATTTCAGTTAACACGAAGTCCTTTTATAAAAATAAATTAAGATCTTAAGCAGAAAAAAGTAAACTTCAAACCAAATTTGCAAATTTTCAACCTCTTATTTCTACTTTAAAGTATTTCAGTTTTACTAATAATAAAACAATTATTCAGCTTTGGGTTTTTTCAGTACTTATATTTTTTTTGTATATGTAATGGGCTTAAAAAATTGTTTATTCCCTTTGATAAAGCTTAAAAAAGCTTTTAAAAGTCATTTAAACCCCGCACCCCCAGTTTTAATAGACCAAAAAAAAAACACATTAGTTAGATATTTTTTAGTCACAATTTCCCTTTTAGTTTCCTCAAGGGACAGTTAGTTTTTTTTCCCCCGATCAGGGGGAAGTAGAATATGGATAAACATATATTTTAGCAAACCCTAACACCCCTTTAGTTAATTTAAAAGACCCAAACGTACTGTTTTCACAATCACACCCGAAGGGGGTTTTAGCTTGGAAAGGGACCAGACTACAAGAACAGACTAAGGCAAGACCACATTTATATTTTCACAATATATCCCCGCACTGGGGACTTTTACTTATAACTTTTATTTCATTTTTAAGGGGTTGATCAAGGGGAAAACTTCTACATGTTCACAAAATTTGGGGAAAGAAATGCAACGTTTTGTATGACCAAAAAACCTTGGGATCAAAATTTTTTTTGTTTTAACTTTAAAAACCTTTAAACCCAAAACGCCCCTATTATCTTTGGTTTTTTTACGGTATTTTTTTCATTTTCTTTAACTTTCTTTAACTTTTTTTTCCCCGGTTTTTTCAGATCTGCCCTCTCTTTAAAAAAAAAGGTTTATCATTTGAATAATGTAAAAAGGCTAAAAAATTTCCCCTAGTTGAAAAAATAATTAAATAACTTGCTAGTTAAGCAATTGGTACTACCTGTCAACATTTCACTGTTAAATTGAACAAAAATTCAATCTAGTCTTATCATATTAAATTAGAGATAGGAATTTTGCATTCCCTGGTACATAAAGTAGATATATTTTAACAACTTCGCACACATAATAACTTCAATGGCCACTTTCTATCCAACCATTAACACTGACTTTTATACTTTCTTAAATTTCTAACTACACTATTTAAAGCTGCTTATTTCTAAACAATTTACTATTGCATTTTTTGCTTTATCCAGTTGTAATCTTGTACCCGTCCAACAAAAATAATGACCCTAATTATAAGTATAATTATGTTAAAAAAATTCAATTATCTTGTTAAGAGTAACATGCTTATATATAAACTAATTACCTTTGTTTTCTTTTTGGTAGATTATCTCCCATTTCGTGTGAGACTGATGATCTTCTCCTCCAGACGCTTGCAGAGAAGTTGTGTATCTGGTATTGATTTACTTGGTGGAGATGGATCCTCTTAAGTATACAGGATTTACAATGAGCTTGAAACTTTATTTCTCACTAAAATCTTCATTTCATGCTTATGTTTAATTAAACTTTTATGGCGTGGTATATGAATTCAGAGTTGAGTTATCATATAAAGATTGCTGCAATCTAAGTAAGTGTAAAATATATTCATTTAAACATACTAAGTTCGATGCTGAAGTGTGTACTGCCTACAATAATTTACACTTGAGAACCCAAACAAATGTCAAGGCTCAGCTTCGGAATAAACTGTTACCTCCCTGGAAATTTAAATCCATACTATGACCTATTTTCTCAATGATTACACTTATTTACACCTTGAATTAAATTCCGATAAAAGATTTTTTACATTGACACATATTCCCAAAGATAAATAGAAAACCCTAACACATGGAAATGCTAAAAGACAACTGTACATGTACCTAAGGTATAACCTTTAGTAATTATTAATAACAGAAAATTTATTTTAGTTAATTGTGTAGCAAATCTTTAACCAAATTAGAAAAACACTCAAAATCTGTTTAGGACCAAACAGTTACTAAAGCAAGGAGTGTAAAGCTTTTCTTGCTTCAAGAGACACAAAAAGCTTGCAACTTACAGGGGTGAAACAACACATGCGATAGATTCAGCCATGCTGCTACATTAAAAACCAAGGTGATTCATTCTGATAATCCCTAATTCCCGTAAAGTCATGTTTTTGAATAGAATTCCCAACTAAAGTAGTCCTGAATGTTAGTTATCTAAAACTCTCTCACTAATTTGCGACAATAAATTAAGTTTACTATTTAAGAATAAACCAGCATTCTTGAAAAAAAAAAACTATAGACACCTTTGAGTATTTAAATACATATATTTTCCACTAGAAAAAGTTGTGAACACCTTTATTATTTACTATTATTAAACGTTTTATTGACAAAAATAAGATTATTTCCTTTTAACAGTTTGGTGTTAGCAATATTTCTGTTAAATGTCTAGTTACTAAGAGATATTAATTAAGCAAATTAATTGATGCATAACATTTACAAACGGATCATTCCCAACAATCTTCTTTTCAGGGAATATACTTCAATGAAATGTTTTACTTTGTATTCAGGACTCAATTCCACTCTTTACATCTAGTAAAATAATTTAATATATAAGCTATCATGTAATCTGTTTTTAATAATATCAAAAATTGAAAAGTCTTTAAGAAACAAATCTTTTTACAATGATTTCTTTTAGAATTTCCCGTTGAATTAAAACCATTTTAAAAAAAAAGTTTTTTTTCAAAATTTTTAGTTTTGAAAATTTTAAACATAAAAAAATTTTTTTTTGGGATTAAACCCATTTTTATCCAATTTTTTCACTAAACAAAAAACTCTTTTTCTTATTTTTTTTTACTCTTTCTATAAAATTTTTCCAGTTTTTATTAAAATTTCTTTGGGAGCTATAAAAAAGTGTTTCTTTACAATGATGTTTTTTCAAATTTAAAAAGTTCAGCTAGACTAATTAACAATACTAGAATTCTTTTCCAAAAAAAAGCACATTACAAAAAAAAAAAGCAATGCCCGACAAAACTTTTTATCAAATAATTCTTTTATTATACTAAAATACCTTTTTTAAAATTCCTCAAAAATTCCCAAAAAAAAAGTTTTGTCTGGATCTCGGCAAATGTGGTTTTTCCAAACTAAACCCCCCCTACAAAAAAACTTTTTTTCCGTTATAGCTTCACGTTTACTACTGGTCACATTTTGATTAGTCAACCTCTTTGTTTAATTTTTTAAACTATAGCCAAAAGTTTGCTTTTACCTCTGATTTTAATGGGAAAAAACCCCAAAAAACTTTTAACTCCAGAGTTGTCTTTATTTAAAAAAATGTTTGGAAAAATTTTGGAGGCATGAGATCTTTTAATATTTCTTGTTTAACATCAAATTTTGTTTTGGGAGTTAAATTATTTTTACTTTAAAGGGTCTTTGATTTTTGAAGAAAGAAATAAAATTTGGGGGATACAAAAAACTGAAAGAAAAAAATCTAGTTTTTTAAGTTGGGTTAAAAAGCCAAATTAAAACCTTTAAAACCTGAGACAAAAACTTAAACTCAAAAAATTTTTGTTTTACAAACCCTTTAAAATTTGCTTTTAAATGGAAATTAAAAGACAAATAAGATTTTAGTTTGAAGAAGACACAAATTTTTAAAATCTTGCTTTTTTTCTGTTTTAAAGGGGTTAAAACCTTTTCAACACAACCCTAACCCGGTAGGGGGGAAACAAAATTATAGAAAGGTACTCCCTACTTCTTTTTTTGTTTAAAATCTACACAATAAAAATACCATCTATACCTTTGTACTCTCCATTACAGGCGACCAACAGAAAGGGGGGTAATTAAGTCAGTTTCTAAAAAAAAATTTTTGAGTAAAAAGGGGGGAAGTCTCTATGTAGTGTCACGCTCTTTGACGTGTTTTGTATCTGGGAAAAACCAAAACACAATATATTTTTTCCCCTTGACATATGTTTTTATCCCACGCAAGGGTTTATTTCAAAACTATATTTAAATTTTGAAATTATAACTAGTGGGTTTTAATTTGAACTATGCCCTGCAATTAAAATATTCCTTTTTATTTGATTTAAAAACATCTATTTCTTGCCAAACCAAAATTTTTTTTTGGTTTTTAAATTTTTTTCTACTTCTACAAAAAACAGGCAAAATTTATCACAACACTTCAATAAAAAAATAGCATTTCAAAACTTAAATTTAAAAACTTTTGTAATTTACTTTTTATAATTCACACATTTAAAATTATTTTTATATAAAAAAGGGGTTTTTCCCTATACATCATTTATGCTGAATTTTTTAAATGGGAAATTTTTAAAATTTTCATTTTGGAACCTTTTCCATTTTAAAAAGTTGGGGGTATCCCAAGGGTGTTAAAACCCAAGACGGGCAGCTTAAAAATAGGCCTGGTCAGACTGCACCCAATGTTCACGCTCTCTAGCACTATTTCTGATGGCAACAGGGTTCAAACTATTTGTTGTGTATTACATGTCATGTGGTACTTTTAGTTTCTTCTATTTGGCCTTTTTCAACTTGGCGTGGTTCTAGTATTCCAACTTGAATACTGTATAATCACCCTTAGGATATGTTGCCTGCTTTTTAAATTTGTCTTTGACGTCTTATCTGTTATATGCAGGCTTCATAAAACCTAAGATCCCCTTTCAAAAATTCAATTTTATTTAGTTTCCGCCCATTGTTTTCTCGTTTAGGGCACAAGCATTCTTTTACTTGAAGACCATACGCCGCTTTTCATGGGAATGACACTACTGTGTCACATTGAAGGTTCCATTTGATGACCGCCGTATGAACACATCTGCGGATGTTTCTAATTCAAAATTCACCATTTTCGTGTTAAATGTTGAATTTCTGCTTAAGCCGGTGCTAGGGGGCGTGGACGGTAACTTGTACTTTCCATTACCGTTCATGAACAGGCTCAATCAAACCGAGCCTGCAATATTTTCAATTTTGTCGTGTTGGGCTTTCTTTAGGGATTCTGTATTTCTCTATTTCAAGGTTAAAAGAAATACTATCAATTTTATTTTACAAAATTAATAATCAACAAGCATTCAGTTTGCCACTGAAATACTTGCAATATTGTACAAAAGTGTCCTCATCATTCCTGATCCTAAGAAAATAAATCTAGTTAAACTCTTTCTCTTCATAGGAATCATAGAGTGGGTACTACAGACATAGACTTATTAAGACATTTAATGCTGTTTTCAAAATGTGAAAGAAAACAGCTTTATTTCAGTTTTATAGCTAAGCATTAATTAAGCTATCAACTAAAGAGTTTCGATTGAACATTACTTAAACTTGAGACATAGTAGCATTAATTATTAGATTTCTATACTGATCTTGTTCTATTAGAACTTCAAGCAAATTATCTGAACTATCCCACGTGCCCAGCAGACAATGTTATGTTTACAATTACAATATCAAACCTCATTAGGTAACAGTATCTATTTTTATATACCCCTACATTTCCTTGTTATATAGAAAATGCTCCTTAATGAAGAAAAAAATAGTAAAATCAGGAAAGATATCCGACACTTTAGACTCTATCAAAATTCACATCAAATAAAAAAAACAAGACAAACCCCACTACATTTTGTATATGCTTTTAAAAGAAAAAATCAGTAACAATACATCACAATAGTATATGTGATTTCACACAAAGTTATAAAATGCAAATATTTACTGAATTTAGAGATTTGCCACTAGTTTACCTACCAGTAATATCGGACTCGGGAGCAGTAGGGGAATAATCAGATATTCTATAATCACTATCTGTCCATGTACTTGAGTCTTTAGGTAACATATATGACGCCTCCGCTGACCTACTTCTCATGTGACGACCTCGAGATCTCGTGCTTTTCTCTGTAATAGTAAAGCAAACTATACATTATAAGACTTTCCCTGTGTACATAAGCCTGTTTCCCAGCTCTGTGAAATGTTTATATATAACTAATAGAAATAGATATATTAGCTGTTCCACCTTTTTAAGGTGCTAAAACCTCACTTTATCTTAGTTTTGTTGACAAAAGACTTAAATAACAAGATGTAATATCAGATATTTGGGATTAAATGTCACTAACATTATCCAGTCATGTTGTGATTTCAATTATACAGTGTCAGACAAAAGACTCCAGGTAGTCTTAAATGGTGTTTGAGAAGAAAACTCCTTTTATATATAAAACCCCCCTTTAGGGATGAACCCTTTGTGCCAAAAACCCTTTAAAATAAAAAAGAAAAATTGGGAGAAATATTTTAAAACATTTTTTCAGTATTTAAAAATCATATAAATGTAACCCTTTAGTTCCCGGGAGTAGAGGCATAAGTACCCGTCTTGACCTTGAAAGTTGTGATTTCTATCATCAACCCCCAGCATCGCTATAGTTTCTATATCTGATGGTGCTTGGGGGGCTCTAAATTATAAGAAATTTTTGAAATGAAAAATTTGTGTTTATCTTTTTCCCAAATTTTTGTGTTTGGGGTTTTTTTGGGATTCTGTAAATTTTCTATTTTTAAAAACCACTCCCGTCCAAGTTTTTACAAAAATTTTACTGTTTCTTTAATAAGTTTCTTTTGATGCTATAAAAAATTTCAACAAGGGATTGAACTATGTAAATTTTTAAAAGAAAACAAAACACAAAATCATCAAAAACCTCTTGCACTTTTCTATAGTCAAATCTGTTGAAATTTGTCTAAATTTTATCAGAACTCATTACAAGCTTTCTAAATTTGGCAATATAACATTAATGGTTTCTATACAGAAAATCCATTTTTAGAAATGTCATAATAACACATAAGTGATGAATCAAGGACATTCCTTAATTTCTGTTTTAATAGAACCTTTAATTTTCGCCGCATGAATTATACCTTAACTTCCAATTTATGAGCTAGCTTCATTTGTGTCATTTCCTGCTCAAACATTTCCACCTGAGCTTGTGTTGTGGTATTCCTTAATGCGGCCTGGAAATGATAAACAATTCTGTTATTGCTTTTGTTATTTATTTTATCACCATTGTTTTAACTTAAAGAGGATGATCAACTTAAAGACAAGTTAATTTTCCATATATACAGCAGCAACATTTAGATGAAATAATGCTTAATGACATGTACATACAAAGAGATTTGCATGAGCAATGAAGATGAAATAACATGACTTGTAATATTTGAAGAAAAAAGAAGTTAAAAAAGAAGTTAATATAAATTATATAACAAAGCAGATAAACTGAATATCTTATCCTTCAATTGTTACAATAAGCTATTAATTACCATACACTTATTAAATCACTTTCACCAAAAAAATGATAAATGGTAAATGTAATATTTCAATGAAAACTTAGTCTTAAATACTTTACAGTTAATTAATTGTCACACCATACATTCTATAAAACAACTGTAGTATCAACATCGTAAGATAAATCAGTTATGTAAAACATTAAAAACATCAAAGTATACAAAAAACAGTTAAACTACACTTATTAGTAATTTTCCTAACTAAATATTAATATCAAAACTAAAAGTTATTAATTTGAAAACATCAACAAAATTAATTTTAAATTTTTGTCACTCTAAGCATTCAAACAAGTCAACCTAAGAAGATATTCATATAACAATTTCTCTTACAGTGTTTTCGTAAAAACATACTTATATTTCTCATTATGAGATTTATCAAAAGGTTTTACAACATCTCTCTGATCTGTTTAAACTATATTTTATCCATTAAGCATCAATAAAAAAGCATAAAGATAAAATTTGCCTTAATAATATTAAGATAAAATACCTTAATAATTCATCAATTTTAAAACATTAAAATATAATAATTATAGTATCTGTTTTATTTACTGCAAGCTTTCAGTGTGTGACACACAACTATACATGTGACATGTGAAACATTACTCCATAAAATACATTAACACTAATGGAACTATTCAACTGTATCATAGTTTCGGGACCTTTCTGTTGAAAATGTGTCAGAGATACACATGCACAGTGCGTTAACTGGAGTGCAGGTATTAGTTACCCGCACTCCAGAGCAAGTCCATTGATTGGCTCATTTTTGCTGGGGTTTACTTATTGTGACGGAAAAGAAAGGGAAAGCGACAGAAATATCATATTCAGATGCTCGTTCATTGGTTATTTTTTCTGGGGTTTCATATTGTGACAACAAGGAACGTGTTTTTATGTTTGACTATGATACAAAAGAGAAAGAACATCAAAATACTCAGCAATCTGATTAATACTCGGGGGCTACTCCCGTCGTACAAATCAGATAGCCTCGTGTTTCGATGCTCTTTCTATTACTTATTTCTTAGAGAATAAATGCATAATTTCTAAATTTAATAAGTTCTGAACATTTTCATAAATAATGTTATGATATTTTATCTCTTAAAAATGTAACTGAATCAAACAAATCTGAAATAATGTTGATTCAAAAATGGTATAAATAATGGAAGAAAGTCATTAAATATGGAGAAAGAAAAAGGAACAACAATAAATTATTTGCTTAACATGACATTTTTTTTCAATCAAAGTATTTAATACAATATAAAAATAGGAAATCCCATACATTTTTAGCTCACCTGTCACAAAGTGACAGGGTGAGCTTTTGTGATCGCTTTTCGTCCGGCGTCCGTCCGTCGTCCGTCCGTCCGTCGTCCGTCCGTCGTCCGTCCGTCCGTAAACTTTTACTTTAAATGACATCTCCTCATTAACCACTAAGCCAATTTCATCCAAACTTCACAGGAATGTTCCTTTGGTGGTCACCTTTAAAAATTGTTCAAAGAATTTAATTCCATGCAGAACTCTGGTTGCCATGGCAACCGAAAGAAAATACTTTAAATATCTTCTTTTAAAAAACCATAAGAGCTAGAGCTTAGATATTTGGCATGAAACATCTTCTAGTGAGTGTCTACCAAGTTTGTTCAAATAAAAGCCCTGGGGTCAAAATTGGCACCGCCCCGGGGGGTCATTGATTTTCCCTATATGCATATAGTAAAAACTTAAAAAATCTTCTTTTAAAGAACCAAGAGAGTTAGAGTTAAGATATTTAGCATGAAACATGTTCTAATAAGTGTCTATCAAGTTTGTTCAAATAAAAGCCCTGGGGTCAAAATTGGCCCCGCCCCGGGGGGTCATTGATTTTCCCTATATGCATATAGTAAAAACTTAAAAAATCTTCTTTTAAAGAACCCAAAGAGCTAGAGCTAAGATATTTAGCATGAAATATGTTTCTAATGGTGTCTACCAAGTTTGTTCAAATAAAAGCCCTGGGGTCAAAATTGGCCCCGCCCCGGGGGTCATTGATTTTCCCTATATGCATATAGTAAAAAACTTTAAAAATCTTCTTTTAAAGAACTCAAAGAGCTTTGGCTAAGATATTGAGCATCAAACATGTTCTAATAGTTGTCTACCAAGTTTGTTCAAATAAAAGCCCTGGGGTCAAAATTGGCCCCGCCCCAGGGGGTCATTGATTTTCCCTATATGCATATAGTAAAAACTTAAAAAATCTTTTAAAGAACCAAAAGAGTTAGAGCTAAGATATTTAGCATGAAACATGTTCTAATAAGTGTCTACCAAGTTTGTTCAAATAAAAGCCCTGGGGTCAAAATTGGCTCCGCCCCGGGGGTCATTGATTTTCCCTATATGCATATAGTAAAAACTTAAAAAATCTTCTTTTAAAGAACTCAAAGAGCTATGGCTAAGATATTTAGCATCAAACATGTTCTAATAGGTGTCTACCAAGTTTGTTCAAATAAAAGCCCTGGGGTCAAAATACGCCCCGGGGGTCATTGGTTTTCCTTATATGTGTATAGCAAAAACTTAAAAAATCTTCTTTGAAAAAACCCAAATAGCTTGAGTTAAGATATTAAGCATGAAACATCTTTTAGTGAGTGTCTACAAAGTTTGTTCAAATAAAAGACCTGGGGTCAAAATTGGCCCCGCCCCGGGGGTCATTGATTTTCTTTATATGTGTATATAGCAAAAACTTAAAATCTTCTTTGAAAAAACCCAAATAGCTAGAATTTAGATATTAAGCATGAAACATCTTCTAGTAAGTGTCTACAAAGTTTGTTCAAATAAAAGCCCTGGCCCGGCCCCAGGGGTGTCATTGTTTTTAACTATATGTGTATAGTAAAAACTTTAAAAAAATCTTCTTTTAAAAAAACCAAATGAGCTAGAGCTTAGATGTTTAGCATGAAACATCTTCTTATTGGTGTCTACCAAGTTTGTACAAATAAAAGCCCTTGAGTTAAATTGGCCCTGCAAAGTTGGTGGGGTGGGGGTTGGGGGGCCTATATACAGGTGAGCGACCTCAGGGCCATCATGGCCCTCTTGTTTTAAAGATGTTCTGTTTTTTTCCACAAAACCAAATTAATATAATAAGTTTATGAAACAGATATATTATTTTACCAATATACAAAGTCGAAATTATAACTAAAACATGACTTCTAAAACAGAAATTAATGAACAACTGCATTATTTTCCTTGTAAATATGAGAAAACCTAAAGTCTGCTGCTGTTGAAAACAGTTTTTTAACTGTCTGCAATTTTTCTAGCATATACCGATACTCAGATACAATCATGACAGAGTTAAAACCTACAACTCATAGTGATATAAACATTGATTCAAAATAAAATAGCAATGTCTAAATTGAAAATTTTCATTAGTACTACATTTATCTGAATATCTCAACTTATTTCAATTTGTTTAAATCAGACAGAACATCATCACATAAACATCAGTATGCCATTATTCCCTGAAGAAATCTAACATCCATCTAAAAAATGTAAAAGGAATGCAGAGTTTCATGTCTTATATTTATGCTATAATTCATATATAAACAGATCTTTCCTGACTGTACCACATT